TTGTGTCTTTTGCTTTTCATAAAAAAATCAAAGGGCTGGCTATTTTGTCAAGCTGCTGTTTTTTTAGGCAAATTTAATTTTTTTTTTTTTTTACTTCATTTTTGGCAGAAAACATTTTGATCCAGGCTTTCCATAAAATTAAAAATGAGTTAACAACATAAAGTTGGTTTACGTATTCAAAGAAAATTTTTCATGATACTAAGAAAACTACTTTTATATCACCTACTTTTATTGTCATTTTTTTCATTTATCCATAAAAACATTTCTCTTTCAACGTGTTTTTAAAAATTTTTTTTACTACATTGCAATTAGCTTATATTTACTTTTTTATATATATTTTTTTTATTTATTGGGAAGAAAGTAAAAGACGACAGTTCCATACAATAAACTTTTTCTTCACATACTTTAAGCATACTTTTTAAGCATCGTTTACGATCGTAAAAATACTTCAATTCTGGCAGTGAGTTCTGGTAAAAGAATCTTGAGTTGTACGAGCATGAAAGCTTTACAAAAACTTACTGTACACTTAAGCCTTGGTAATGATATTTTAAAATATACAACTGTATGTAATGTAAACTTACAAATATAATTGAGATATTATAAAACAAATTAACTAAACCATATCAATTCAATAAAAAAGGTTTTATTTTTAAGTCTTGAGTATTTATCGCATTATAACTTATATGTAAAAAGAAAGATTTTAGTGTTTCATGGAAAAACTGTTATTATAAAAATAATTTAAGACGTACTACACAAATTTAAACAAAAATTACAATAAAAAAATTCTATTTTATTTGCAGCATATTTACTTAATTTAACGCATGAGAAATGCTCCCAGATCAGACAATTATCACACTGAATTAAATTACTCAGCGCGCTACGTTTACAGACCTGGCATGTGAAGCCCATTGCTTTTTTTTTTTTTTTTGTCAACAAGTGACAAAAATAAAGCGTAACTTTCGCCATCAAAAAATTTTTTGATAATTTTTAAGTCCACCGACGGGTCAATGAAGGTGTCGTCTAGTGTCATCTGCTATCCTGACGTGCAATAGACTGTTCTTCGAAGCCTGAAAAAATATTAATATGTAACATGATTTCAGTATAAAACTTCAGTACCAAATGGTTGTCGTATGATACGATAGTCCTCTAAAAAACTATACACACGCACACACATAGAGACACTATAGCTAACATTTGAGGTGAATAAGAAAATGCGGTGGCAAAACGCTAAGTACATTTTTTAAAAGCAATTAATAAATTTTTTATGCTCTCTTTCACGTACTTACATGATGTAAAATAAGCTTAGACACATTTAAAACACATTTAAAAGAAACTGTACTATTTTTTCTAACAATGTCGCAGTAGTCGTGTACGCAAAAACAAATTTGATATACGTTACACACAAAAAAAAAGAGTTTGCTACCGAAGAGAGTACTGTCGACAACGAACAAACAATAATATTTGTCATTGGTACGTGGTCACTATGTACATACTACGTTCCACAAAAAAACTCCCAACCATTAACATTGCTTTAAAAAAAAAAAAAAAAAAACTGTACGCACCGTTTTCCAAGTATGAGGCTTCGGCCACAGCAGCAGGAAGGGCCAGTAATGCTTCTTTGGTCTCGTAGATCTCCTTAGCCATTCTGGAATCGCGAACATCATCATCTTTGTTCTTGTCATTCATCGCCTCAGCCATTTCGGGAACGCGATCATCATCATCTTTATTCTCCTCATTCATCTCCTCAGCCATTTCGGAAACGCGACCATCATCTTCATTCTTCTCAGCCATTTCCGGAAAGCGATCATCATCATCTTTACTCTCCTCATTCATCTCGTCAGCCATTTCGGGAACGCGACTATCATCTTCATTCTTCTCAGCCATTTCGAAAACGCAACCATCATCTTCATTCTTCTCAGCAATTTCGGGAACGCGATCATCATCATTTTTATTCTCCTCATTCATCTCGTCAGCCATTTCGGGAACGCGATCGTCATCATTATCTTTATTCTCCTCATTCATCTCCTCAGCCATTTCGGAAACGCGACCATCATCTTTATTCTTCTCAGCCATTTCGGGAACGCGATCATCATTATCTTTATTCTCCTCATTCATCTCGTCAGCCATTTCGGAAACGCGACCATCATCTTCATTTTTCTCAGCCATTTCGGAAACGCAATCAAATTCGGATAACTTTGATTCTCGTAAAGACTTATAGAAAGATTTAGAGAATTATATATTGGGAAACTGTTTTGTTTAACAATGTGTATGTGTGTGTATACGCACTCCGTCGTGTACGCGAAGCTCAAAATCGCGCGTGCCTCGCTTGGAAAAACAATAAACTCGGACTCTATAAGTATTCACAGTAGAGTTGCCGACAGTATACAGTACCGAAAGTATTTTCTCCCAATTTCGTACGCGAAAAAAGGGCGTTCTTCTCGTATCACGTAAGATTATGTATACCGTTTCGCATACGCGACGGTGCGTTTACAAACTCATATACTAATCAAATTCTCCAAAGTACCCAGAATGTACTTTAATAACTATTAAACTTAGGTATTCGGTGGAAACACGTGTATACATAGGGAGTGTTGGGGTATCATACTTACGATTTTTATCCAGAAGCTTTCTTTGTTTATTACTCTCGGCACGGCACGTATCATTGTGACTCCAACAACTGCTACTACTGATAATCAGCCGGGTTTTTTGGTCATTTAAATTGATCTTTATTTTGCAGGGGCAGTCACATTTTACGGATGAAACTTTCCGAATGCCATTTCCGCGTGTTTTGAATTTTCCAGCCCTGTAACACTGGAATGTGAGCGACGAATATTTGAGTTCTTCATTTGATATTTATCTTCCATTAACTTTGCTGAGGGTGATGATATTTAACTCTTCGAACTCTTTTAAATATTCTTGTAACTGCGAGAAAGAAGAAAAACTTTGCATTTCGCTTGACATTTCCCTGTCACAAAGGCGCACGAGTTGGAATATAAAAATCTCTCTCTGCTGACGCGTCGCACGTGTGTGTGTGTTTGCAGGAAAAAAAAAGGATGAAGAAGAAGAGAAGAGAGAAATGCGCACGCCTGAAGAAAAAAAATCGCACGTGTTGTGACACAGGTCGCGCGCATAGCGGTGCGCAGGTAGCCTCTAATTGGCCGAGTAGTTGCCTGTCGTTCAAATATTTAAAATTAGAACATTCAGCGAGCGCGCAAAGCCATCATTATATGTACGTAATCTCTCTCTAACCTTCAGTTTTCTAAACTATTTTTATAATAAGAAGTGTACAATACAAAACTTTGTTATTAATTACAAGTAGTTAATTTTCCAAATAACCAATGAGTGTTGCTTGCTTTCAATGGTAATTTAAATCTTTAGTTGTTCAAATCCAAAGCTTTTTGCACGTACATATTATGTATATGAGGACTTCTACGAAAAATTTATCATTTGTTGCGCTGAAAAATAAAGTAAATTTTCTGTGAAGGCACATTTTTAGAATGATAATTAATAATTATTAATCATGACATACAATTCGACATGATACGGTAAGTATTTCAAGCAATACAGAAAAAAATTAGTATGATGTTGCCTTCAAAATAATGGTTTCATGGGTGTATATATTATGTTGGCGTATGTAATACAATAAGGTTATATCATTTATCATGAAAGAAGTTTATTAGTTAACAATACTCCTCCTAAATCAACATATTTATAAATAAAATGGAAATGCTAGCATTAAAAAATGTAACGAATCATCGAAATTGCAAATAAAAAAGTGTCAAAAATTTTAAAAATGGATATAATCTTTGCGTCGGTACAGACGCACTTATATTTTTAAAAAAATTGAATTTAATGCCAATGCTCCGAATTTTTTTTTTATTGCTTATTGTAACTTGAGTTTCAGACTAAATGTAAAAAAATCAGGACCCATGTCAAGTCAAGTTTGGAGCATTGGCATTAAATTCAATTTTTTTTAAATCCTTACTTGCAAATTGCATTGTGCAAAAATTACCTAACCGATTCTAACGAAATTTTGAGTGTATATTCTGCGCACTTTATACTATAATTTTCTAGATTAGTAGTATGAAAAATTATTTCTTTATTGTTTTTTAGTACATTGAAGCCAAAGGATATTTTTATGCAGTATTTGTTGATTTGCAAAAATGCAATTCTAATTATTTAGACCAAAAAACCGTTATCTCGTACAAAATGTGACAAGGAATAATAAAGTTTGTGTAACATTTTCTTCTTGGAGGCGTCGGTTTTGAGTTATACACGAAAGTATGCCCCAAAAAAAGTGATTTGTCGTTAAATTGTTCAGTTATCGGGTCGCCACTAACATTGCTCTTCATAAAATCATTGCGCACCCACTAAATATTGTTAGGTACATTATTCCGGACCACCTACCATAAAAATCGTGGTTGTCCCCTGTCACAACCAAAATTTGAGGGTCTAGGGTCTCCATTGCTTAGGCTATCAAACATCTCTTCCAAGCACGATAATTAGCTGTTTTCAACGACTATGGACGACTTTTTTAAGCAAAGTTATGATCAGAACAAAGTCGAAGATATAGAAATTTATATGAAATTGTCTGGTAAAAAATCGAAAAAAGCAAAAAATAATCATGTACCGACACTCGAATCGTTTGTACTGACTATTTTATTCTTATACTATTTGATCTCTCTCGAACAAGAAAAACATCGCGTTTGGGGGACTAGACGAACGCTGCCGCCGTCTTACTGCTAATATTCTTAACCAGGCTTATGATGCCCGAAAATCATCGGTGACGATGCCTCTCATGCCAAAGCCTGCACATCTTATTTGCAGCTACTAGGTATGTGTCACAGCACAAATCTATCATAAATGCTAGATATTTATTTATTCTCTATATAAGCCGCGAGGGAAGATGCGGGCTCCTTATTAATAAAAACACTCAGCACTATTTAATTATATCAACACCTTTTATTTACTAGCTTCTCTATCTTATACAAACCGTTTAAGCTTTCTATCTAACTTATTATTAATAAATACAATACAATAAAGACTTTTATGAAAACAAAGTAAACTAAAACGTGAAGTTGATAAACTGTTGCAACTCTATACGTGAAGAAAAAAGTAAACTTTTGGAGACAACCGAGTAACTCGAGGATCAGCACATGAGAGAGATCGGCCGAAGCACAGCAGCCGGTAGGTGATAGCAAAAACAGCTCGGCGCGCGCACTTCTCGCCGTCAGCTGTGATCATGGCTTACTAGGTGTCGCCACCGCACGACCTTTGATTTGATCGGGTTGATGCACCGTACCAACTCTGACAATAAATATAATGACATTATTGACAGTTATACACCTATAACTTTGAGCAACCGTCCGCATGCACGCACGCATGCACACGCGCTTGTCTCTCCCCCGTTAGATTACACGCCACCACCCTAACTTGAGTTAATAATCGCTGGCGTGGAACCTACATTTGTGCTCTTTAGAAAGCCCCCGTATACCGGCGTACACCGCATTAAGCCGCAGTACGCTGCAATCTTTGTCTATGGTTCCGACTGAACATGTATGGGAATAACGAGTTTCATACTCCGAAATCATAATCCTCGAAAACTTGGGGCCATTAATTAATAACACAGGAATAGGAAAAAAAAAACACTCAAAAAATGTTTTCAAAGATGAGGGTTAATTTTAAACTTACGTCGTCGCGCTTCCGCGCGACTTGATAATACCAAAAAAATATTACTAATTTTCTTGCATAAACACGTAGGTGTTGTTTGCGAGGTTTTTTGTTTTACAATACGCATATCAAAATTATGTCATTCTTTACAATTTTTTAATAAAAATGCTTATACTTATAGGTGCTATTCAAATTTGATGCAGTGGGTATTGGTATGTGAATTTATTACGATTTAACAATTATGTTACGAAAAAAATTTTTTTTTTATTATAGCGGTTTAATCTAGTTTTGTGACTAGTGATCAATTTTTCATATTTATAAGTGTATCTTAACTTTTTACCTCCTATCAACTGCAATTTCTTCATGATTGTTTTTACGTTGAGCCCAAAACCAGTTAAAGCAATAAAAGAACACATAAAAATTTTTATATTATGTTGAACAAAATAGACAGTTGGGTAACTTAGCGTTGTTGCTACGTCACCTAATAATTACTGTATTATGTTTCATAAAATGGACATTTGCTTGCTTGCCTGAAAAAAAATAAAAAGTAGTAATGCGTAAACAAAAGAAAACAAAAGTTAAGAAATTACTTACATACTCCACTTGTTTTACACGTATATCTAGTAGTAGTACTGTCGATACCGTACTCATCAACTGATAACTTAATCTCAATGGCAACACGTTAGTATATCTGTATGTATTGTATACATAGATGGAATACCCATGCTTCACCTCTTAATTTCATTTATTTAATCGCTAATGAAAGATCTCACAGGCATCTAATAAATATTTTGAGGTGATGATAATGTAATTTATGTTTTTAGCGTCTTTGTTGTAAATTTTTATAAATATCGTGTATATTAACAAATTATGATTACGTGTTAAGCTGATGAGTAGTACAACAAAGCCTATGATTTTCTTCCTACGCACACTCTAGGTCCACAAAAATTTAACTTCATTATATTTGGGTACTTATAATGTACAATGTGTTTAATTCTATGTAAATCGTGTATGTCAATCAATATACGACAGTACTACCTGAAACAGAAATTTTTTAATTTAAATTTCGTACGAATTTTGAGTGTGCTTATATTTATGTCCTGTGAAATGTATCAAAGTTTCTCGAGAATTTTAGTGGGAGATCGTTTCTATAGCGATTTAAAATATGTATCTGGTACATTTTATTGTAACCGCTGTGGCTTCCCTTATATATTTATTTATAATAAAATAGCTTCATGGGAAAATCAATAGCTTATGTCTTATTACCATTTTCTTATAAGTAATTACGTAGTTTGTAAATTATAAGGTAAGTCTTAAGTTTATAATAGATGGATGAGGGTCTTAAGTAAATAATGATGTATTATAAATTTAACATTATAAACAAAGTATTTAAATTCTGTACAATTTATTTTCAATTCATACCAAAAACTATCAGATGTTGCACATCATATGATAATTTTTTATTAAAATATTTGTATTTGTGACCAGTAATTTAC